TCCTGTCCTCTTGCCTTTCATCTCGTCCCCTCACCTGGGCCCTCATGGTCACCTGCTATCTTCTGTGCTCACCTTTGCCAGTTACGCCCTCCTGTCATTCTAGATTTCCTCCCTCTGTCTTCTCTTTCCCTGCGCCTCCCATCAGCCTGCTCATGGATGGATGCAGGGACAGATGATAGATGGCATGGACAGATGGATGGATGGATGTGTGGCACTGGCAGTTTGATAGCTCATGTTCCATTTTCTGATGCTGGAGTGACCTTTGGTCTCATGGCATCCTTCCGAGTTGCCTACAGAGCATGGAAGGTTCTCCATGATCAAGCCTGTCCTGACTCGAGCGCTTCTCACTTTGCAGCCCCACCTCCAGGATCTGTGCATGTGCGCTGTTCATGTCCTGTTCGCTCAGCCCATCTGTGCTTCTTTCACTGATTTTTTTGAGGGAGGGGGGGCATTTCATGCCGCATGGAGGATCTTAGTTCCCTGACCAGGCATCCAGCCCCGTGCCCCCTGCAGTGGAAGCGCAGAGTTTTCACCACTCGATACCAGGGAAGTCTCCAGCTCCTTTAGTGTCCTTGCTGCACCCTACATTTTGTTACCGTGTGCTCCTTTACTCTTCTCTGCCTTCCTGGGTGTTGGGTCTCCTCCTCCTTTCTCTCCACTCTCTGTCATCCTTAAAGACTCAGCTGCACCGTCACCTCCTCTAGAAGACTTCTCCCTTCCCTGGAATTACCCACTTCCTCTCCTGCCTCCAGTCTCCCACGTGCTGAATATTTATCAGTCATGCTGTCTGAACACAGTATTGTATTTACTTGTTTACATTTGTCTTTCAACTACGCAGGGAGCTCCTTGGAGGGAGGGATCATGTTTTATTCATTTTATTTATTCCTAGCTTGTAAAACAGAATTTGACATGCATTCTTATGACCTCAAAGTAGGGGGTAGTGTTTGTATGAATAAATGTGAATGTGCTTTTAAACTGTAAATTGACATACAAATGTAAGTTATTATCATATGAACATCATTCCCAAAGTAATACATGAAACTTGCCAGCAGGTTTTCTATAAACAAATGATTACTTTCTAGAAAAGGTGGAGGTGTTGGAAAAACTGAAAAAGATGCTTCCCCCAAAATAAAGACCAGTAGTCTTACATAGGGATTATATCAAAGGGCTTGGAATTTGGAAATGCTAACACAAAAACTAGACCAAAAAGAGTAAGCCAAAGAGATGAAATTTTGAAACCCGAGCAAAAGGATTTATGAACAGAACCTTTTCTTCATTTTGTTTGTACGATATGACTATCTTCAAGAGAGAGAAATAGTAGAAAAATTAGATGACGATCTAAATAAATTTTTGTCTTCTTATGGTTTAGCTTTATTTTCATGTTAAACAGTTTGTAATTTTTAAACATTTTAAGCATTATTTTAGAGGGTAAAGGGGGGCTGGGTGCAGGGACATTAACTTAATTCTTTCAGGGCATCTTAAATAAAGCGAGCTTCCGAGGACGTTGAGTTTGAATTCTGTCCCAGTTCTGGAAACATTCTCTCTCCAGCATCTCTGCTGGACTGTTGTCTAGACCAGACCTTCTCAAACTGTCTGAGAGAGGGAGTGTGTGTGTGTGTGTGTGTGTGTGTGTGTGTGTGTTCCTATCGGCCACGCACTGACATTTTTGTAAAACACCACAAAAAAAAAAAAAGAATTACTAGAGAAACAAAATAGAAGATATCAGATATGCAAAATACAAGCCTGAATTTTTATTAGATTCAAAAAACATCCTTCTGTCAAAATGCTATAGAAGTCTGTACAGGCTTAGTCTCAACTTCTGCACTGACCTTGTTGTGATCAGCAGTAGATTGCAAATTGGTTGCTATCCGTTACCACACTTTAAACAGCACTGAGTTCAAGTTTACTTGGATATTTTCTATAACAGACATCACAGAAATGAAAAAGTTATCAAGAAGAGAGCACATGTGTACAAATCTTACAATGGTGGAACTGCTGATTAGAGAAGAAATACTTTAGGCAAAATTCATAGTACTATAATAAAACCTTTTTCAAATTGTGTAAAGCTGTTTTTTTGTGTGTATCTCTTCCTACCTTCCTCAGCATTGAGTGACTTCTTTGATCCTCTTGGAGAGTAATTATTTTCAGTGCAAAAGTTTTAAATTGATCATTGTTAACTGTAGGGTAACCATAGGTGCTGACATCAAACCAATAAAATTAATAAGCAGCGTGACAGGCTCTAATAAATTTCATTGGTGTCTCTACCCTGTCATTTGAGCATAGAATGAACTATTATTATCACCGAGCTTCAAACCTCTCATTTTGGCTTCAGATGCTTACAGCTGCTAATGCAGTGCATGCTACAGTAGTTTCCAGTAACTGGTTTGGGGTTAAAGTATCATATTTAAAAGACTTAGTTATGATCAGTGGGGGAATATGTTGTGGCCCTATGGCTTTGATCTGTTTTCTGGAGTGGCCTGCGAAACTTTGGACTCCTAACAATCTATTTCTCAATGAGTTCAGAAAGCAAGCAGCTTTTACAATATAGTTCCTCTACCAGGGACTCTGGGGTTTTGAAACTCTTTGATCTGGAGATGGGCCATCCCCTGTTGGAAGTGGGCCATGGTTCTTTGTCTCTCACCCCAGATGAAATTCTTCAACTCCCTCAACTTGGTCCTTCCTTGACATGAAGAATTTAGTATCAGGTTTCTGAACAATGGGCCAGCTTCACGCTTGAAGTGAGAAAAAGGTTTCTTCCCTTTCTCCTTAAACCCCATTGCAGCCGTTCAGATGAATTTGGCATCCCCGCATCAGCTTTGTCCCAGCCTTAATGCTGCTGTTGGGTGTAGCTCATGCCTGCCAATATCTTCCATTTTACTTTTTTAATTTCATACTCATCTGCAACCTTCTGTTTTACCTTCTTAATTTTGCATATGGTGTCTTTTTATTTATTTTTTTAAGGCTCATTTATTTTTTTTCATTTTTTTGGCCACTCTGTGCACTGTGTAGGATCCTAGTTCCCTGACCAGGGATGGAACCTTCACCGCCCCTACGTTGGTGACAGAAAGTCTTAACCACTGGACCACCTGATGTGTCCTTTTAAAATGTTAATCAAAGTATTAAAGAAGCTATCAAATATAAGCATTCCGCGCAGTTAACTATTAGCAGCCCATCTCTTTGGACCACATGTAATTTTATGAAACTGTCAAGAAACACACGTATTTGTCTTTTTGAGGACACCTCACTTTGATTCATACTTGCTCAAAATGCCCTCTTCCTTCAACTCTAGCCTTCTTTACAACTTTTTATTTGGGCGTTATCTCTAGAGCCTGCACAGGTACTTGAAGCTCCCTATAATTGTTCCAGTCATAAAAGTAAGGAGGCTGGGTCTTGCTATTGTGGGTTTTTAATGGCAATTTCACACTTAAACCTCGTAAGTCTAATTTCTTATTGAGAGGACCGCTTTCTGAAGAAGAAAAGATGTCACCATCAAGCTTGTTAAAACATAAAAATGCTTATGAATGTCACTTCCTGCATGACCATGATGGTTAAGAACCAGGATGGTTAGTTATTTGACGCAGTCTGTGAGCCCTGCTAGGGAGACGGTTCCTGATGAAGCCTGGCCTGGTTTTCATTTGAGGAGCATGAAGGGCACAAGAGGGCGGCTGTGGCTTATTAAAAGACAAAAGCAACAATTATCTGACGCTTCTCACATTTCAGCTTCTCCTTTCACTAGTTGCGCCTAAATATTATTGTGTTTGTGACTGGTCATTGGAATGCAGTCCAGGGCTGGGATTTTCAGGGTCTGGCTGACTTTCCCCCCCACCAAGACTTCCCCAGGAGCTGCGGAGCTCCGGGTGACGTCTGGTGGAGAACCGTCCTGCATTGTTCAGCCCAGGGCGGGGGACTATTTATTTTTGATTTTACGTTATTTCAGCTGTTTTCACTTTTTTCTTCATTGTTTTCTTGCCTCCTACAGAGTTCTCTTTTCAAGTCTGGCTGGGGCAAGAGGGATACTCAGGGATGCGGCACACAGCATGGAACACAGTTTTCCCCTCTCTCAGCAGTTCAAATAGCTTCTAAGCCACGTCCATTTAACCCACTGTGGGCCTGAGCCCACGCCACGTCAGCTCAGTTGGGAGTTGCTGCCGTGTTAAAATGGATAAAATCATTTCAGTGCAGTTCATAGCTCCTTAACATGGTCTATTAGATCGTATGAGTGAATTATATGTTTATTTTAAAAAAACATATAATGTTTAGAAAGCATTTTTTAAACTAGCATTCGAGGATGCATTTAGTTCCATAGTTTCACAACAGCTTTCTGACTTAAAAAGGTGATGTTTAAAACAATTTCTTTGCATTTCACAATTTTATTCCTGGCTTCCCACTGTGTGAATTTTGCAGTATCTTTTTTATCATATACTAATAAATCAGTTGAGGGGACAGCAGGCAATGTTGTTATGCCAGAAGTCTGACTTTATTGGTAACCATGGTCGTTATGTTATCCATCTAGGGAAGTGCTAATACATTTTAGGTGTAGATATGTTAATATAGGGCTTCCCTCGTGGCTCAGATGATAGACTCTGCCTGCAATGCAGGAGACCTGGTTCGATCCCTAGGTCGGGACGATCCCCTGGAGGAGGGCATGGCAACCCACTCCAGTCTTCTTGCCTGGAGAATTCCATGGACAGAGGAGCCTGGCGGGTTACAGTCCATGGGGGTCACAGAGAGACACTACTGAGCATGTGCGCGCGCACACACACACACACACACACACATTTTAATGTATATACACCCTTTCTCCTTGTTCAAACTCCCTGCTCTATAAATAGGGGAATATCATTATTAATAAAAGAGATTCTGTATTCTCACGGTAGAGTTAATGAGCACATTAGCATAATAATTACTTGAAATGGATATGAAAGGTTCACCACACATAACTAAAGATGTCTTGGAAAAGAACAGAAGTGTTTATGACATCTTTCTTGTTGGTTTCACAGGATTACCTTGACTGTATCAGGGACCAGACAAAACTTCCTCTGGGGACAGATGAAAGATCAGCCCTTTTTGGAAACATACAGGATATCTACCACTTTAATAGGTAAGTTAGTACTCAGAAGATTGTTCTCACATAAGAACATTATGAGTTTTTCTCAAATGAAGGTGGCCTCAGAAAACTTACCAGAAATCCCTGATTCTACTTCATCAATTTCTGTGAGCTATCATGCCGTGAAGTTTTCTACTTGGAAACATCCTTGTTTGTATGTTAATCTCAGATTAATTCAGAATCCCATCCCATTCTATCCTCCTGGCTCAGAGAAGAGACCTATTCGTCATGACAGAACAGAGGCTTCTCGGTTCCACAATACAGGGTGAACGTGGCATCCAAAAATATATGCTGCCTCAGTCCCCCAACATCTCCATTCCCACTGGATTTTCTAAAAATTTTTCTCTGCCTAAGGAGTGGGCAAGAGAGTAAACAGACAATAAATACTTTAATCATAACAGATATTAGTGCAAATTAATAATTAAAATTTATAGCACTTAATTTAATTCAGACATCTATTGAGTACCTACTGTGTAGCAGGCATGGGGCTTAGAAAAGTACCATAGCAAACAAGACAGACGGGGAGCTGAAGGGGATGGAGTGAACAAATCAGTTATTATATTGTAGTACCTCTTGGAAGACCAGGTAGTAGGCAGGTAATGAGCACAGACTCAGGTTTCCAACATATCTGGATTTGCATGCCAACTGGGTCATGTCTATATTCTTTGGGGAATTTTAGATAGGATACAGGTGGTCCCTGACTTATGATGTTTCAACTCGTGAGTTTTTTGTTTTTACTTTACAATGGTGCAAAAACAAGATCTGTTCAGTAGAAACCGTATTTCAAATTTTGAATTTTGATTTCCCCCCGCCCATCCAACCCCTCCCCAGGCAGTGAGCTACAGCTCTCAGTCAGGCATGCAATCATGATGGTAAACAACCAATACACTTACACCATTCTGTTTTCACTTTTAGTACAGTATTCAATACATTGCATGAGACAGTCAACATTTTATTACAAAGAGGCTCTGTGTTGGATAGTTTTGCCCAACTGGAGGCTCATGTAAGTGTTCTGAACACATTTAAGGTAAGTGAGGTGAGGCTTTTGTGTTCAGTAGATCAAGTGTATTTTAAAGCCTTTTTAAATTTTTTATTGACTTTATTTTTGGATTGGCTGCATCTCCATTGCTGCTTGCAGGCTTTCTCTAGTTGTGGTGGTCAGGGGCCACTCTCTAGTTGCAGGGGCTTCTCTTGATGCTAAGCACAGGCTCTGGAGCATGCGATTAGTTGCTGTGGCACACAGGCTTGGTTTCCCCATGGCATGTGAAATCTTCCCAGACCAGAAATCAAAGCTGTGTCCCTTAAATTGGCAGGCGGATTCTTAACCACTGGACCACCAGGGAAGTCATTCATGCATTTCTGAGTTCTGACATTTTCAACTTACAGTGGGTTTATTGGGACATAATGGCCTCCCTCATTTCAAGTCTTGCTCACATCTTCCTATCTCTATAAGGTTTATTGCTTGCCTGTGTGCTAACTCGCTTCAGTCGTGTCCGAGTCTGTGCGACCCCATGGACTGTAGCTCCCAGGTTCCTCTGTCCATGGGAATTCTCCAGGCAAGAATACTGGAGTGAGTTGCCATGCCCTCCTCCAGGGGATCTTCCCAATCCAGGGATCAAACCTGTATCTCTTGTGTCCCCTGCATTGGCAGGCAGATTCTTTGCCACTGGTATCACCTGGGAAGCCCAGAGTTACAGTAAAACCTCCTTAGAGAGTCCTATAATGCCCGATAATGGGGTCACTCAACCAGAGTGTAAATAATAATACTGAAGTTAGTATATGTGAACTCCTTGAGGGTAGGATCCACATCTCCTTGGCCTTCCCTAACATCCATGTGGATCCCTAACACGTATCCCAAGCCTGGCCTCTGGGAGACACGTTTGAATTATCAACCTGTCGTTAATTTTGAAAGCCTGGGACATGAAAAAGGCCAGAGATGCAATATCTCTTTCATTGGACTCAGTAGACTTTGTAAACCAATTTGTATGTTCCAAGACAGTGATTCTGAACCTGGACTACACATTGGAATTCCCGGACTACACATTGGACTACACAAAGGATTGTGCTTTGTTTTGTTTTTAATATGATGACTCCTGCCCCCAAAAGTTCTAATTAATGGGTCTGTGGTGGGACCAGGGCATCAAGATTTTTTAAAAGGTCCTCAGATGCTGGGAAGGATGGAAGACAAAAGGGGAAGGGGGCGGCAGAGGATGAGATAGTTAGATAGCATCACTGACTCAATGAACATGAATTTGAGCAAACTTTGGGAGATTGTGGAGGACAGAGGAGCCAGGCATGCTACTGAAGTCCATGGGGTCACAGAGAGTTGGACATGACTTAGCGACTGAACAACAACAATAGATGTGCAGCCATGGTTGAGAAACACTGTCTAGATAAAATAAATGCAATAATAAGAAAATAGAGGAATGGCATTAGAAAATGGAATTAGGGAATTTAGAATCTGCATGTGCATTAGTAATGTGCTGATGTTGGAGCCGGCTTCATTTAGCAACTCTGAGGGTAATAGTCCAAGGAGCCGTGAGTGGTTTCTCCACCCAGAGCTCCCTGATGGTACAGTAACCCGGGAAGAGGAATCAGGCCTCGTGTTGGGAGGCCCTGGCCTCAGCTTTCTGGTGGTTTGGCTATGCGTTGACTGTAATGACTGTTTATCTAGTGCTTGTCCATGCCAGAGGCCATAGAGCTTTATGTGCATTATCGCTTTATATAAGTCTGGGCTTCTCTGACTCCAAGCCCCAGGCATCTAGCCACATTCCCTCCTGCCAGAACAGAGCCCTGCTTTTCAGGTCTTGATTTGTGGCATTGTGACATAGTCCAGGCAGGAAGGGTTTTCTACTCCCTGGAGTTTAAAGCTTCCTGTGTCTCCTAATTTAAAGGAAAACAAGACAGAAGTAGCCCCCAATGTCAGCAAGAAGGGACCTCAGCTGCAAAAGTTGGAAGACAGGTCTTTATATGCCTGAATTGTTCTCTGTGCTTTTCTCTTTGGTGTTTGCTGAACAAGGAAATCAGATGTGACTAAAGTAAACCTGAGTCAGGGTGATGGTGACATGTGAGTCATCAGAAGTGACACAATTCTAGCTGATGGTGCTCATGCCTGTCCCTTTGGTAGATCACAGTTGTAAATCTCCTGCACATGCATTGTCTCCTTTCATCCTCTCAACAGCTCTAAGGCAGATAAGATGCAAAATGTATACACATTGTTTGGACAGAGGAGACAGTGTAGAAAGTCCTTTGCTCAAGGACATAGAGCTAGAAAACCAACCCAGCCTATTTTGATTTTTTTATTTTGTTTATTTTTAACTTTTTATTTTATACTGGAGTGTTAGTTTCAGGGGTACAACAAAGTGATTCAGTTATATATATATATATACATATATATATTTATATACACACACATATGAATCTATTCTTTTTCAAATTCTTTTCCCAGTTAGACTGTTACAGTATATTGAGCAGAGATCCTAATATTATACAGTAGATCCATGTTGGTTATCCATTTTAAACATAGCGGCATGTACATGTCAATCCCAAACTGCCTAAATGCCCCTACCCCTCACCCTTACACTCTAGTAAATATCAGTTTGTTCTCTTAAGTCTGAGTCTGTTTTTGTTTTGTAAATCAGTTCGTTTGTTTCATCTGTTTTAGATTCTGTGGATAAGTGATATCTTATGACATTTTCCTTGCTCTATCTGACTTCACTCAGTATGATAATCTCTAGGTTCATCCATGTTGCTGCCAATGGCCTTATTTTATTCTTTTTAATGGCTGAGTAATATTCCATGGTATATATGTACCACATCTTTTTTATCCATTCTCCTATTGATGGAAGCCTATTTTAAACACCTGGTTTTGTTGAATCTCAACTAGTATTCTTCTTATTTTTTTTATTATTTCCAAGAATATTTTTCTGTTTAACTTTTACAGTTAATTGTCTGTACTATATTGTCCCTATTTGCTTTTATTTCCTTTCTCTTAACTCTGGACTAAATTTAGAGCTTAAATGTCTTTACTATTATATTTCATTAAATAACAATATCGATGTGAGTTTTTATGTTAATGGCTCTTATGAACCCTCTGTTCTATACCCTACATCAATTGGTTTCAAAGATACAACTATCTGGCAAATCTATGGTTAAGGCTTGAAATGATTTTAAAATTTTTACTAGTTCAGGTCCAGATGCCTCCTCATAATATAGTACTATTGTGCCCAACTAAGCAAGATTTAAATCTCTAAAACTAAAGAGGGCAAAGAGAAAATGGTTTTATGCTAGCCTGAAAAATTTTCCCCTGGTGGCTCAGACAATAAACAATCTGCCTGCAATCCAGGAGACCTGGGTTGGGAAAATCCCCTGGAGAAGAAAATGGCTGCCCACTCCAGTATTCTTGCCTGGAGAATCCCATGGACAGATGAGCCTAGTGGGCTACAGTCCACAGGATCCCAGAGAGTCCAACATGACTGAGCAACTAACACTTTAGAAAATTTTAGCTGATAAGATTGTTTTTCAGAAGTATTTCCAAAATATGGGAAAGCATATGATAAACACTTATGAAGCACCCCTATTCCATCAAGGCCTTCCTTTATGCCATATTTGCTTTGGAAATGCTTGAAAGTCTAAAGGCTTTACCAGTAATACTGAGCCCCCAATATGCCCCTCCGAATTGCATCCCACTCTGTGGAGAGTGGCACAGTGATGTGCTGATGTGCCAGTTCTCCAGGGTGAGGACAAGGGAGGGGAAATCTGAGATTTATAATGTCTGCCAATTTCTGTGGTATAAACAAACCTACAGCAGATTTCGGGCTACTAAGAAGACCTTACTGAACATGGAATTAGGAAGAGATGTGCAGAATTGGCTCAGAAAAGCCAGTATAATCTCGCTCAAAATACCACCATCACTATAACTATTATCCAAGCCTTTGTGTTTCATCCCCAAGTAAGATCTTGGTTGCCATGACTCTAAGTATATATATGTAGTG